GACCCGGCAGCCGGCGCCGCCGGTGGGGCGGGATGTGGGCCGCCGAGCGCCCCCTGGTGGCGTGTTTGCGGCCCCCGCGTGGCTCCTCCTGATTCCCGCCAGCGGGGCGACTTCGAGGATGCCCCAAGGGAGCGCGCGCTTGCGGGGAGGCTGCTTCTTGGAGCTGCAGGCGCGCCCATGACGTTCCGTGCCATTACCATTTCCCTGCTGGGTCAGGGACAGGCGCGACGCTTGCTGACACAGTCCCTGGAGCTGCTTTTATCCCCGCAGCTATGAAGGCTGGTTAAGAACTCGCCAAGGGGCGCCCTTAGGCCCAGGAATTCCCCTCCTGCAAATCTAGCCTGAGGTCAGCATCTGAGAGGTGGACAAAGGCTCAGGCACAAAGGGGTCCTCGGGAAGATGTTAAACATAGTGAGAATTTGGAAGCAACTTAAATATCGGGCCTACGGTAGGGAAATCGTTAAGAATGTTGTGATAACCCATGCAGTTGACTATTGTGGGAAAATTAAACGACGTTTACAAAGAATTTATCATAAATTCAGAAAATTTTTATATTAAGATGAGCACATTTTTAAAAGTGAAATACAAAATTTGAGCACACAGCATGACCTTTGAGTAAAATGTATGCAGAGAAAAAGTCCTGGAAGGGGGTCTGCCCAAACATGGACAGTGGCTGTCTGTTACCTCTGGGCAGGGGAGTTAAGGGTTTTTCCCCTGCTGCTTGTCAGTATGTGTGCTGTGGGGGCTTGCATGTTGCTATGATGCTGGAAGCTATGCCACCCGTATTTCAGATACCAGCAGGATCACCCACTGGGGGCAGGTTTCAGCAGAGCTTCCAGACTAAGACTAGGAAGAAAGGCCTGGTGACCTATTTCCAAAAATGAGCCAATGAAACCCATATGGATCACAACAGACTATTGTCCGATACAGTGCTGGAAGATGAGCCCCCTCGGCTAGAAGGCACTCAAAATACACAGTGGCCACAATCAAGGACTTGAGCATGTCAACGTGTAGCTGGAACTGTAGCCTGAGGACCAGGCAGCGTTTTGTTCTGCTGTACATAGGGTCCGCATGAGTAGGAGCCAAGGATGACAGCTAACAACACTCAAATTAAGAAAAAAAAATCGTTTTAATTTTTCTGCTAAAGAGTCTGAAAGTGAAATTATTTCCTAGAACATTTTCCCCTTAAACTGCAGAGAAGCCACAAGGTAATGGGTACTCATAAGTCAAGGGGCATGGAAGCCAGAGCCTGGGGTTAATAAGCGAGAAGAAGTAGACAAGCGGAAGATGGAAGGCGGAAGTCTCATTTCAGCAGGTACCGCCTCCACCAGAACTTCCGGTTCCATGTCCTGAGGTCCCTAACCTGCTGCAAGCCATGAATCTGGATTTAACTCCAACCGAGAGGCACTAGGAGAAGGGTCCTGAGTTCTGGGGGAAACCGTGGAACAGGAGATAGGCCGTGGCCTTTCAGATGCACCCTAGTAGACAAAGCTGAAGGGTGAAGTGTACCCTCAAGGGCGGGCTACCCAGTTACACCCCGTTATTTGGGGTCCACTGTGGTTTCCTCACCCCAGATTCTGAGCCAGTACTCGCCTGCTGTTATGCGGAAACAGAGGTCCCTTTGACCACTGTCTCCGGCAGAAACAGGAGGGCGTCTCCACCAACCAGTAAGTCCCGCGTACGAATATGGGTTTGCGTGCCCAGCTTCTGTCCTTGCATACAGAAGGCGCAAGCTCACCGAAACACAACGGGAATCACTGGCGTCTAAGTGCTGGATGGCTTCAAAAAAAAAAAAACCTACAGTGCTAGCCTGCTTATTTCTCCTAATCTGTTTCATGGCTTCCAGCCACACAAAAAGATTGTGAAGTGTCTGGAGGAAAAACACTATCACAATCTCGTCCACGTGGCGGCTGCCCCTAGGAAGACCCAGACGCCTCCAGCCTGGTGGCGATGGTCTGGCCGAGCTTGTGCAAGGTCTCCTGAAACTGGGGGTACTCATTCTTCACGTGGTCCAGGACGGCGCTGATGACGGCCAGCCGGTTGTCCAGCCGCGTGCTCTCCGCCTGCAGGGACTGCTCCGAGCGGACCAGGAACACGTACTTCCCATCCTTCACGGCCTGCAGGTGCTTCAGGCGCGTCTGCAAGGTCACGATCTCCGAGAGGTTCTAGTGGGGGGAAAGACACGGAATTAGGCTGGGCAAATTAGAGAACCCAGTGCCCCCACACAAACTCCAAAACCAGAAACGAAACCAGCTGCCGTGGAGCCGACTCTGACTCATGGTGGCCCCATGTGTGTCAGAGCTGAACTGTGCTCCATGGGGTTTTCAATGGCTGAGTTTTTGGAAGGAGATCGCCAGGCCTTTCTTCCAAGGCACCTCTGGGTGGACTTGAACCTCCAGCCTTTCGGTTAGCAGCCAGCATGTTAACCGTTTGTACCACCCAGGGACTCCTTCACACCAGCTCAGCTGTGAGAAATCACCAAAGAGAACATCCTCGAGAAGGGCGCTATGTCTCGGAATCCCCAGGAAGGGCCAGCAGGCATCAGCTGGGAGCCTTTCCTTCGTCCGCTGCCTAGGGGATATCTTTGACCCCATCCATGTGTTGGCCCGGTGCCGATGCCGGTCCCTGCCCCATCTCAGGTGATCACAACTCCCTCCTTCCAGCTTATCAGGCCAGAATCTCAGGCTCTTCTGCTCACACCACATCCAGCCTAGCGGGAAATCCCATCGGGGCGACTTTCAAAACATGCAGAATCTGACCGAGTCTCGCCAGCCGTGTGCTGCTGTCCCCTGAAGTGCCATGATGGCCCCCAACCGGCCCCTGCTTCCATCCTTGTCCCCTTTCTGCTCTCAACCCCAGAGCCAGGTGGTCTTGTCACGCCCATCGCTGCCCAGCTCCGACCGTCCACCGTCTCCCACCTCACTGAGCGAGAAGGCCAAAGTCATTGCTGTGGTCCCCAGCGCCTCATCCCCACCCCCACTTCACTCCAGCCTTGAAGGCTGCTGGCCCCCCGACACTCTCGAGCTCCCCGCTTGACCTCGCTTCTTCTCGTCTCCATTCAGATGTCGTCTGTGGCACCTTCCCACCTCCCTATTTAAAAGTGCAGCCCCCACCATGCAGAACAGAATTTCAAATTCTTATGGAATCTAGACTTTCTGGAGCCATGGAAAGGAGCCCTCGTGGCGCAGTGGTTAAGCGCTCAGCTGCTAACCGAAAGGTCCGCGGTTCAAACCCACCAGCCGCTCCACAGGAGAAAGATGTGACAATCTGCTTCCGTAAAGATGACAGCCTTGGAAACCCTATGGGGCAGTTCTCCTCTGTCCTGTGGGGTCGCTATGAGTCAGAATCCACTTGAGGGCAGTGGGTTTGGGTGGGACCCATAGAAACTGGATGACCTCCTGAAACTGTTGCACTGAGAAAATCTTTAAGCCTTAAACCAAAAATATCCCCTGAAGTCTTCTTAAAACCAAACAATGATCAGCTTAACCTAGTAAAGAACGTCTGCCTTGAGCATTGTGCTCGTTTAAGATCCATCTACAGGGGATCAAACTGACAACAGCAACTGGAAAGCTCAGACAGGAACCCGAGGGGGCAGTGAGTTTATGTTCACGGGGGAGGAACAACTCGGAAAAGGAGGCTGAGAATGGCTGCACAACTGGAAGAATGTCATCAGTGTCCCTGAATTGTACGTGTAGAGACTGATGAATTGGTGTACGTCCGGCTGTGTATATTCTCAACAACAACAAAAATTAAAATCTTTTACAAAGTTCAGCCCCCCTTTCACCCCAGCCCTCCTCTTCCCAGCTTTATTTTTCTCCAAAGCACTGACCACCATCTAACACACAATATCTCTTTACTTCTTAGTTTATTATCCATCTCCCCAAATGTCACCACAGGCAGTATCCATTGTACCCATTACCGTCGAGTCAATTCCGACTCACAGCGACCCCCTAGGACAGAGTAGCACTGCCCCACAGAGTTTCCAAGGAGCAGCTGGTGGATTCAGACTGCCGACATTTTAGTTAGCAGCCGAGCTCTTAACCACTGGGCCCCCAGGGCTCCTCACCTCCAGGAGGGCAGGGATTTTTGTCTTTCCTCTATCCTTTAGCCCTAGTACCTAGAACAGCGCTTGGCCCATAAGAGATACTCCGTAACTAGGAACGAGTGGCGAAGCCGCAGGGATGTGGGCCGGCCGGGGACGTGGTCAGCCGGGGCTTAGCTGGGCTGAGAGAAGGCCTTTGTCCAAGGAGGCCCAGGACACCTGCCACCCTAGTGACCCCTCGGGGTGTGCCTACCTGCCGCTTCAGGGCCACGAGCCGTTCAAGGTCGGCGTCAAGGACATCGGAGTCCGACTGCACGGCTGACAGCTTCTCCTGCTTCTCCGTCAGGGAGTCACTCAAGATTTTCTGCCTTTCTTCCAGCTCCAAGACGGTTGTCGTGCAGTCCTCGGTGGCCTGGCAGAGAGAGAGAAAGAGAGAGTAGCGTCCTGACCCGTTCCCTGCTTACTTAGGGGACCTAGAAGAATCCATCTGTAACCGCTGCCGGGCCTTCTACATGCCCATTCTTCGGCCAGACCCTGCAGGGAGGGTGCCAGAGAGGTGTCCAATGGCCTTGCCCTTCAGGGATGGATCACCGGGAGAGGTGGACTGCCAGGGCGCCAGGACGCGCATGCCAGGGCTGCGCTGCCCCAGGTGGGCATAGCTTGGAGAGAGAAATGGGGGCTGAGCAGTTCTAGGGGCTCCTCCTGCACCCAGTCTGCCTGCTCGGCACAGGGACCAAGGATGGCCTGGTATGTGTGGTGTCCAGGGCAGGGAGGAGACACTCAGGGCACAGAGGGGGTTGGCCTGGTGGCCAGTGGGAAGTGGGGGACCCTCGGAGGAGTCTTAGCAGTACTTGCAGAGAGATGCAGAAAGGGGGACAGAGGAGGCCAGCCGGGGACACCCTCAGCACATAGCTGGGGGTGGGAGGGAGAGGGTTGGGGAAGGCAGACATTGAGCCTGGGCAGAAACATTCCTTCACTCACCCTGGGCGTGATTTCAATCTCCTCTCCTCTGTCTGACGCTGCTCCCTACCTTGTGAGTGTCCCTGATTTTCCGTCTCAGCTCCACCTGCTTGTGGTGGAAGTCCGTGAGGGTTAACACCTTCTTGTCTGTCTTGCTCTGGCCCTCAGCCCGGGCTGTGATGGTGTCTCTGTGAACCACGGCCATCTCCATGGCACGGATCATCTTCTCCTGCTGCTTCAGCAGCTGCCCATGCTTCACCTGGGGACACGGGGCAGAGGGGCTGGGACGCAGGGAAGAGGTGCCCCCCAAGTACACCACCAACTGGACCGGCAGAGGGGGATGGTGTGAGCTGCACCTCCAGGAGAACTCAGTAACCATCATCAGTCGGACAAAATGACTTTAAGGTTCAATACAAGGAATTCAGAGCCCTGGCGGCACAGGGGTTAAGAGCTCAGGCTGCTAACCAAAAAGTTGGCAGTTCGAATTCACCAGCCGCTCCTTGGAAACCCTATGGGGCAGTTCTACTCTGTCCTATGGGGTCTGACTCGACGGCAACTGTTTTTTTAATAAGGAATAAGCCGGCAAGAATTCCTGAAGAGAGTTAAGGAGAATGAGCAGACCATAGCGGAGGGAGACCTGCCCTGCTAGGTTTTAAAATGTACCATAAAGCGACAATGATAGAAACACTCTGACATTGGCCCAAACCTTGGCCAAGTGACCAGAGAGCAGAGAATGAGGACGGTGAACGCGGGAGGCAGTATGTGACCAATGAGGCCTTCCAGTTCCGTGAGGAAAGCACAAATTACTTAATACCTATTGTTAACACTGAAGCCCTGGTGGCACAGTGGTTGAGAGCTCGGCTGCTACCTAAAAGGTCGGCGGTTTGAACCCACCAGCTGCTCCCTGGAAACCATACGGGGCAGTTCTACCCTGTCCTATAGGGTCACTGTGAGTCGGAACGGACTGGATAGCAACAGCGCCTGTTTCGTACCATAGCTTAAAAAATAAACCCCGGGTGGATTCAACGTCTAAATCAATGTCAACCATGTTTAAACATCTCTGTGCCAAAAGAAACTCTGAACAAAGCGTAAGGGTGACCGCGTGCCTAGAGAATACGCGTACAATAGACAGGACAGACGGGTTAATAGCCCTGGTGCAGGAAGAGCCACTACAAACCGTTAGGAAATCAGAGACACTGCTCAGCAGAAAAATCACCAAGGATACGAACAGGCAACTCCCAGACGAGGAAATGCAAACGCCAACACACAAACGCAGCAGCTCACGCATGCACACGCGTGCACACATGCACACACAGATGCTGAATCCCGCCTTCAGGTACACATAGCAACACACATCCGCAGGACATCGAGGTGCCCCTTTTCACATACCAAGCTGTCAAACATGACAAAGATTGATAAAAAGAGTTGAGATTAGCAAAGCCATAGAAACAAAGTCAATGTACGAAAATCAACCGTATTTCTATAGACTAACAATGAACCGCCGGAAATGGAAATTAAAAAGTGCCAGTTAAAACGGCACAAAAAACCAGCACAAAGACTTAGGGATAAATCCATGAAAACTAACAACTCCAATGAAAGAAATCAAAGAACCAACTAAACGGACAGACAAACAGGTGGCCCCCGGCTTACAGCGTATTTGAGTTCCCACGAACCGCCCTTCCGACTGTCCTCTTTTTTTTAACATCTTCTCGTTAGTAATAGGGACTCCATACAGTGTCGCAGTGTGTGATTTGCTGATGCTATCCTTCTCAGATGTTCATTTGCAGATGTTTCCAACCCCCAGATACAAATAAAGATTAGATTTATAAAGATACTGATAATAGGCAGTAATAATGAAAACTTAAAAAAAAAAAAAAAGAGGTATTTGACTTATGTCAGAACCATCTTACAATGGATTTGTCGAACAGAACCCAGTCGTAAATCAGGGACTACCTGTACTGTGTTCATGGACTGGAAACTCAATGCTATTAAGCTGTTAATTCTCCTCAAACTGATCTATAGATTTAATGCAGTCTTAATCACAATCCCAGCAGGAGTTTTTGTAGAAACCAAGGAGCTGATTCTAAAATTTTTATGGAAAGGCAAAGGACACAGAATAGCCAAAAATTTTTTTGAAAAAGAAGCAAGGTTGGAGGAATCCCATAACTACTGAGAGACAGTAATCAAGGCAGTGTGGTACTGGGGAAAGAACAGACATGCAGAGCAATGGAACAGAATAGAGAGCTCAGAAAAGCCCGCACAAACACAGTCAATTGATTTTCAACAAAAGTGCAGAGACAATTCAATGAAGAAAGGATTATCTTTTCAATAAGTGGAGCTGAAACAATGAGATATCCGTATACAAAAAGAAAAAAGAACCTTCATCCACAACTCATACCATATAAAACAATGGGCTCAGAATAGAGCATCAGACCTCAATTCAAAACCTAAAAGTAAGAAAACTTATAGAAGAAAACAGAAGAGAAAGTCTTTGTGACCTTGGGCTAAGCAAAGATTTCTGTGACACACCAAACGCACAGTCTCTAAAAGGACATACTGAATGACTGGATTTCACCAACAGCAACGAATCTCAAATGCATTATATGCTAGGAGAAAAAAGGTCAGACCCAAGAGGCGGCATACTCAGGATCCACTTATGTGACAGTCTGGAAAAGCCAAAGCTACGAGAATGGAAACAGATGGGTGGTTGTCAGAGGCTGGCGGCTGGGGAGGCCTGACTACAGAGGGGCAGGAGGAAATTTGGCGGTGATGGAAATAGTCTACGTCTTGATGTGGTGGTTACATGATTATATACATTTGTCAAAACTCATAGGACTGTACACCAAAAAGAGGGCATTTTTACTCCTTTAAATGCCTCAATTAAAAAAAAACAAAAACAATTATTGACAATAGTCAAAAGGTGCAAACAGCCCAAGTGCCCCTCAACAGATGAATGGATAAATAAAGTGCGGTCCATCCATACAGTGGAATATTATTCAGTCGTAAGGAGAAATGAAGTCCTGGCAAACGCTATGGCATGAACGAGCCTCGAAAATACCATGCCGAGTGAAAGAAGCCAGACACAAAGGTACATATTGTGACCCCACTCGGATGAAATGCCTAGAACAGGCGAATTCGTACAGACAAAAGATTAGTGGTTACCAGGGGCTGGGGAGAGGAGGAATGGGGAGGTAAATAAAAAAAAAATTTTAAGACCTATAGATTGACAAAGGAGCCCTGGTAGTGCAGTGGTTAAGAGCTTGGCTGCTAACACAAAGGTCGGCTGTTCGAACCCACCAGTTGCTCCACAGAAGAAAGATGTGGCAGTCTACTTCTGTAAAGACTTATTTAAAAAAAAACCCAAACTCTTTGCCATCGAGTCAATTCTGACTCATAGTGACCCTATAGTACAGAGCAGAACTGCCCCATAGAGTTTCCAAGGAGGGCCTGGTGGATTTGAACTGCCAACCTTTTGGTGCACAGTGGTAGCCCTTAACCACTACACCACCAGGATTTCCCTGTAAACATTACGCCTTGGAAACCCTATGGGGCAGTTCTACTCTGTCCTATAGGGTCGCTATGAGTTGGAATTGACTCGATGATAACGGGTTTCTAGACGGACATCCCTCTGAGCTGGCGAGGGTGTAGGGCGATAATCATTCTCACGTGCTTTTTGGAAAAATAATCTGGCAGACTCTGTTACAGTCCAGAATTTACATACTCTTTGAGCCAGTCGTCCCACTTGTGGGGATCTGGCCTACGTTATAAACAAAATCAAAAAACAGCAAGGGTGCTATCGCGAGTCACTCACAGGGAGAAGCAACGGCCGCAGCAAACGGGGGGCGAGCATTTCCACCAGCCTGGAATGTTTACAGAAGTGACATGTCCTTAAACAAACAAACAAGCAGGAGGAGAGCTGCCCTACCGGGTTTCCAAGGAGCTGCTGGTGGATTCAAACTGCTGACCTTTTGGTTAGCAGCCGAGCTCTTAACCACTGTGCCACCAGGGCTCCAGCACATCCTTAGCACTGAATATTCTGTAACTGTTAAAAAAAAAAAGTGTCTATGGAGTTAAAAAAAAAAAAAATTAGTTGCAGAGTTATATGTATAGTAAGTTCCTATTTTTTTCTTTTTAAATTCAGATTTACTGAGGAATAATTTACAAACGGTAAAATTCACCATTTGTAAGTGTACAGTTTGCTGAGTGTTCACAGATGTACACAATCATGCAGCCATTACAGTTGAGATGAGGACATTCTGTCACCCCAACAACTCGTTGTGCCTCTCTGTAGTCAATCTCTGCCACACACACGCAAGTTCCTATTTTTGTTTAAAACCCCTGTCTGTATGTATTTGCGTCAGTTCTGAGAGGGGTGTGTGGGGAGCCCCTGAGGAGGGGATGTTGGGGGGAGGGAAGGCTGATATTCTTTGCTCCCCTGGTGGTGGGACTTGGCTTGGGTGCTGGGGGGGAGGGAGGGTGGTGGGACTTGACTTAGGTGCTGGGGGGGAGGGAAAGCTGATGTTCTCTGCTCCCCTGGTGGTGGGACTTGGCTTGGGTGCTGGGGGGAGGGAAAGCTGATGTTCTCTGCTCCCCTGGTGTTGGGACTTGGCTTGGGTGCTGGGGGGG